TCACTGCATGCAGCGTTGACCTCCTGGGCTTAGGCGATCCTCCCACCTCAGCCTCCCTAGTAGTTGGGACTACAAGCGTGCACTACCATGCCCAGCTAATTTTTGTAGAGACAGGGTTTCACCTTATTACCCTGCTCTTGAACTCCTGCACTCAAGTAATCCTCCCACCTTGGCCTCCCAAAGTGCTGGGATTACAGGCATGAGCCACCACGCTGGCCCAGTAAATCCTTCATCCTTCTTCCACTTCATGTTGCTAGACTATAAGGCAAACATTACATTATCTTCACCTTGTGTTTTGTAATCTTACTTTTCCTTTGTGTTACTTTCCCTCTACCCTCTTGTTTTAAAATTCTACTTCATTTCCCTTTTTCAAGACTTTGGGGTAGTACATATATATATATATATATATTTTTTTTTATATACATATATTTAAAAAAGAAAATTATGACAGTTCAATTTGTAATTCTGTATCAATATTATTTCACCACAAAAATGTTCCTTAACTAGCAGAAAGCAGTTAAGTGCTATAACAAATATTATCATTTCTAAAGAACAATAAAGATGAATTTTATTTTAAGCTTCATACTAAATTTTATTCTGTAACATTTAACCACAAATTGATTTTAGGGGCTCAACATTTTTTAATAAACCGAAAGACAAGAGATGAAATAATGCTCATGGCACATAACATTAATCTGTAAATGGAGTTTTTCCTTAAAGGCAAAATGAGAAAAAGACATCCTCATTTCCTTTTTGAGGATGTCTGCTGCAATGGCCAGTCAGGAACATATACAGAAGGCATATATATGGACTTCACCAAAGCATTAGCAATGGTTCATTTAAAATTTTTTAAATTCACAAAGAAATGGAAAAAAATATTTGAGGATTGTTGAATGATCATAAAAACGTTTCTGCTGAATAGAGAGAAATTTCTGGTAGCACACTCCAAGGCTTTTGGTCTTGATAGTCTTCTTTTTAATGTGTTTAACAATTACTTAGATGAAGCATTGAGAGGGATATTGGAGGATTAGTGGTTAACAGCATGGACTTTGGAGTGAGAAAAATCTGCAGATGCACAAGTCTTTTATATAAAACAGTGTACTATTTGCATATAACCTGTGCACATCCTTCAGTATACCTTAAATCATCTCTGAATAACTTATTATACATAATACAATGCAAATGCTATATAAAGAGCTGTTATACTGAATTGCTTTTTTATTTGTGGTATTTTTACTGTTGCATTATTTTTGTGTTTTTGTTTTTGAGACAGGATCCCACTCTGTTGCCCAGGCCGGAGTGCAGTGGTACAATCTTGACTCATTGCAGCCACGCCCTCCTAGGCTCAAGTGATCCTCCCATCTCAGCTTACCAAGTAGCTGGGACTACATGCATGCACCAACACACCCAGCTAATTTTTGTATTTTTTGTAGAGAGGGGTTTTGTCATGTTGCTCAGGCTGGTCTCCAAAGTGTGCTGGGATTACAGGTATGAGCCACTGCACCCAACCAAAATTTTAAAGTATTTTCAGTCTGTAGTTAGTTGAATCTGAAAATGGGAAACACAGATATTGAGAGCCAACTGTATATCAGGACACAAACTCGCCAAAAGGAGGTAAAGCTCTACTGCTTGTGACTTCTGACCAAAGATTCTCCCAAGCGCGTCAGGCAGAGTGTCTCCCATTTGCCATGAAACAGAGGTGAGGGTGGAAGGACCATACAATCCAGCCTTGTTCTGTAATCACAAGGATCTTACAACCAAAAAAAAAAATAATTTTGCAAGTTCCCCATTTATCTTTGTCTTTATATTACTATCAATGCTAAGCTTATACTGCCGTCAGAATTCTGCTGTTAGACATAATGATCTCAAATATTTAATTGAAAAAACAAGTATCCACAATTTTATGACTTTGAGAAATATTATAAAGAACTTGTCTTTATAAAGGGTTTATTTTCCTTACAATTGTCTTATATCCTCATCTACACCCATTTTATTCATTTAGATTAAAATAATCCTTCCCAAAACAAAAACAAAAAAACCCTCATTTGTTTGCAGACAACATACGCATACCATTATATAAGGGGATCTGGAATCTGTGCAAACTATCCACAGGCCAAATCTGGCCTACCATCGCTTTTGTAAATCAAGTGTCACTGAAACACAACTTCAATCATTCATGTGCTCATTCGTTCCTTTGTTCCGTACTGTCTTGGCTGCGTTTGAGCTACAATTGCAGAACTGAGTAGTTGCAATAGAACCACTTGGCCTGCAAAGGCCTGAAGTATTTACTGTCTACCCCTTTATAGATAACTGGTTCATCACTGTAGGTATATACCAGTATTAACTCCCTGTGGACAGGAGGCTGGACACAGGCATTTCCTTGAACTGTCGACGGAATTATAAAAACTAGAAATAATTTTGTTTAAACACACTTGCAAGAGGCAAGGAGAACTGCAGATTAAATGTCTAAGAAAAAAGAAAAGTTCCTTTCCAAATGATTTAACAACCTGCTTGTGACTGTAAACTATACTACAGTGAGAAGGTCATGCACAAATTGTTCAGTTTGTTTTTTTTATTTTTGGGGTGGGGGGTACCTAGCTCGTTGTGTCGCCCAAGCTGGAGTCCAATGGTGCAATCTCGTCTCACTGAAACCTCCACCTCCTGGGTTCAAGCATTCCCCTGCCTCAGCCTCCCAAGTAGCTGGGATTACAGGTGGCCGCCACCATGCTCAGCAATTTTTTGTATTTCTAGTAGAGAAGAAGTTTCACCATGTTTGCCAGACTGGTCTCGAACTCCCGATCTGCCTGCCTCGGCCTCCCAAAGTGCTGGGATTACAGGCGTAAGCCATCACGCCCGGCCTGTGCTAAACAGGCAGGCAGATCGCCTGAGTTCAGCAGTTCGAGACCAGTCTGGCCAACATGGTGAACCCTGTCTCTACTAAAAATACAAAAAAATTAGCTGGGCATGGTGGCGGGCGCCTGTAATCTCAGCTACTTGGGAGGCTGAGACAGGCGAATGGCTTGAACCCAGGGGGTGGAGGTTGCAGTGAGCCGAGATTGGGCCACCACACTCCAGTCTGGGAGACAGGGTAAGACTCCACAACAATAAATAATATACTGACATTAGTGAAATTAGTTTATTTTAAGAACCCCAGAACACAAAGGCTAGCTAACCCCAGCTGCTAACTGCAGAAATGTTTTGCCCTTACTTGCTATTTCAGGAACTGATTAACACAAACAGTCTCAAGGTGTTCCTTCTAATTAGAAAAATTATAAGCTCTAATTTAGAAAATTTATAAGCTTTAGACTATGACTATCCACTTGGCTAACGGTGTTATTATTCCATGAGTCTTAGTTTGAATCTTCGTATACACAGAAAGTTTCCCGCCAAAATTTTTCTCTATACTTACTAAACAGAAACCCCAAATATAAAACACTCAAGGGTGAAAAGAAAGGGGCAAAGTGATACAGATAGATTTAGATCTAAATACAGATCTATAGATCTATCTATCTAAAATGTTTTGGAAGATAATCTGAGTGAAGAAATCTGGAGAATTTTCCCTAAGCATTTGGGACAAAAATTAAAATCTTATCTGTATATATATATAAAAAAAACCTAAATGTATTCTTACCTAGTAAAATTCAGTAAGGGCCCAAAATAAGGATCTACACTCAGTAAAGCCTTTTACAAAGGAACTAAGAAGTTCACCAAGCCATTGTGTTGTTTTAATCTCTCCGCCAGGCAACCACGCAGTGAGAAATCCAAATTCAGTGTTTTCTCTCCTTTCCGGGAAGCGTTATTTCCTTCAGGCAGAGTGGCCTCTGTACGGTGGTTCAGAGTCATCGATCTTCCTCCCCAAATCCTATTACCAAAATGTCTTTTAGACACTAGGGTCCTTCGGGCAGAGTGGCCTCTCTACGGTGGTTCAGAGTAATCTATCTTCCTCCCCAAATCCTATTACCAAAATGTCTTTTAGACACTCGGGTAAAAGCGTCTACATGACTTTCCTACAGCAGCCCTACGTGCCTAGATTTACAGGTTCACCAAATTGAGCAAAAAGGAATGAAACCGCTTCTCAGAAACCATTTTCAACACGGGACACCAAAAATTGGGCAAAAAAGTAAAGGCCCACTTAAAAAGCTTCTCTTCTTAGTTTTGGCTGCTCGTTCACAAAGAGCAGGTCCACTGGTCCTTGGAAGACCTAGAGGGAGTGTCCCGACCGAGGGGAGAGCAGGCGCAGGGCGGGCCTCCAGCGACAGTCGCTGGCGCATGGGCGGGAGGGCGAGCGCAGCAGGCGGAGGAGGCCGCAGGCGCCGGGCGCGCACTCACACAGGTGGCGGGCAGGGCTGCACCGGGTTCCGAGGACCCTCGACCAGAAGCAGCAGGAAAAGTGCACGAAGAGTTGAGATGACCAGAGAGTAGCGGAAAGGGGAAGGGTCAGTGCGGGGAAAGGCATGCGATGGGAACGGACTGGCTTCTAGTTTTCCTTTCTTTCTCCTCCAATAACTCACCAAGGAAATCTCACTGAGAAGACAGGGGAAAGGAAAGGAAATGGAAAGCAGTGTCCACGAACCGCTTAAGCTGCCGCAGGAGGAGACCGAGGCCCGCACCTCCGCCTCGTTTCCCGGTCCCACCCACCCACTCCTCACGCAGTATCCTCTGCGCCTGCGCCGGTCAGCGCGCCCCGCCGGTCAGCCCCCAGTGCGCCTGCGCTCTACGCCCACGCCCGGAGCAGCCTCGCGCCGGGCACCTGATTGTCCTCTCTCACGGCAGCCTATCCGAGCCCTCCGAGCTCCTCGGGCTCCTCCTCTCCCTCGTCCTGCTCGCGGCCTTGGCCTTGCGTCCGCGGGGTCTCAGCCGCTCGCTCCGCCCACACCGGATTGGGGCTTACGCACAAAAGTCTTACTGCATGACGTCTGCGCACCAGCTGCGCTTTGCAGTGTCTCTAGTAGGATTTTTCATTTTCACCAGATACCCAGAGAAAAGAGCAAGGTTTTTAAGGGGACACCATTCTCACCCCGTTAAGTTTCAAAGACACTTAAAAACAGTGGCTCTCAAATGAGCTTCTCTGCAGACGGCGCTGCAGAAAGAGGGAAGAGAGGAGACCTAGTTAGCAGTGCCACCTTCCACTTCTTCGTCGCCTAGTAACGGTTTCCACGGCAACCGCGCAGTCAATAACGCTTAGCAATCCCAAGAGAAATAGGGTGTTTTTCTTCCCGAGAGAGTACTGCTAAGAGGGGGTCAAAGGGAGACGATGTGAAAGAGAGAACCCGAGGTCCTTGAGAAGGCAAAGAAGTAAGGGACGGAGATACTGGGACAGTGAGAAAAAGTTGAGAATAGTAGCTTTTAAGGAGTCCTTTGGTGGCCATGGATCCAACGTGCCCTTCTGAGTGCATTTATAACCTCATACCCAGTGACTTGAAGGAGCCTCCCCAGCCTCCTAGGTATGTGGATAAGCAAAGTCTATCACTTGAAACAAGAATGGGGAATAGTCAGTATTAATTAAGCCTACATATACTGGGACTTTTAATAATAAAATGTATTTTTGCCCCAATGAAGTAGCCTTAGAGGATAACTTGTTAGAGAAAAGGTCGAAATATCTAGGTATTTCTCATCTCACAGTTTCACAGAGACCGCAGTCCAGCGCTGTGAGATGACCATTTTACACTTAACCTCTTATTAATACGGTATGTGATTATTGTGTAATTTTCTAATATGTGATGTGGCGTACAACATATCTCGACGTTTCATGTTGATGAAAAGAGAAAAATCACAATTCTATTGTCTTGTTTAAGGATACTTGATGTTTGGTTTCAGGAGTTTGGTTGCCTTCCTTCTCCCTCTCTAATGGGATAGTACTTACTTTCCCCCAAGATTGTTAAGAAATATAAACTCACATTTGCTTCTGAGCCTCAGGTTTTTTATCAGTGACACGAAATATCTACTACTATTAGACAGTTTCTAAGGACTTTTTCAGATCTAATCGTTTAATGGAAGGAAGAATGGGTGGGTAGATATGAACCAAAAAATATGTAATTGAGTTGAAATTTTACATAGGTCTTAGAACCTCTGTATTCTCCAAATCTCAAAAACGTAATAGCAAAGTAAGCACTTCAGTTACTCCCATCTGTAGGGACTTCTTAGAATTTGCTTAAATCTGTGGGGAGCAAAGAAAGTAACTAGTGGAGAAAATTTCTCTCTCCTAGGACTTGAAATGTTTCCTGTATTTTACCATCATCCTCGTCCTTATGCAAGTCGAAACCACATTTTAAAAGGACTGGACTCAAAAGCAGGCTTAGCAAGTAATTGTCTTTTCGATCTTGAATAAAGTTTCATTTGTTTACTGATCTGTATGATACATGTACTAGATAATATATAACATCTTTTTAGATCTAATGGTAAATTATTTTTACTAGTATTGGAGTAACAGCTTCAACAAGTGGGCAACTTCTTCAATTTTAAGAATCTGGTTTAAACTAGAGCAGTAACTATGCTATATTTCCATTAGCTTATCAAAATCTAGAGATTGGAAAGAGGAATGTAGAGTAAGAATTTATGAGTAGTGTTCAAACTATTGTTCAACTAACTTTTGTTTTCAGATTCCTGCATATTGCATGAGAGAAAACTCCTACTCTCGGTAACACATTGGTAGATTGTATTTCTATAGAATATTAAATTTGAATGTTATTTTATTAGGTAGGTATTCTGTTCCTTGCAAATTAAAAAGTTTTACTGCATCTAGATGATTTTTTTTCAAATAATTTTATAGAAACAGTCTTTATTCATTTGGCAACCATTAATGGAGTCCCTATTATGTGTGTAACATTACCCTCGTATATCTGTCCTTGGTGATGTTGAAGTGATAGCACAGACTTCTTGGTTTTACTTCGAAGAAATGAACAGAAGGAAGATTTAAGATGAGAGGAAATAGAAGGCACCCAACTGTGATGTCAAAAGAATAATTTCTGTTAGGTTAAAGTCAGTTTACTCTGGCAAAATTCTGGCAACTGCCTGACTTTTAATCTCCCATGCCTCAAAGTTTCTAGTCTTTTGGGGAACTGAAATATGAACACTAAAATTTATTATTGAAAACCCTAATGAGAGATGAAGATACTAAATGAGAACTTAGAAGATGAATATATGTGACCAAAATTGGATGAAGGGCACATTTCTGCAGTTGAACTATGGACTGAGACTTCAGTTATGAAAGTCTCTAAGCCAATGGGAAACCATGATTCAGTTTTCAAAATTTGAGTTACTCATAATGCATAAGATAGATTCCAAGATTTTCACCAAATCTATCACCGTTTTTTGATGTCTACAGTTATTATCTCCAATCATGCCCTTTTTCCATTTTGTTTAAAGCGATATTCCAGTTATGATCTGAACTGTCTGTGAAACCATTATCTCCTTTCCATAATTCTTTCTTTTTTATCCATTCAGCCTAAGCTTCCATAAGCATTTTGACAGTCATGTCCCACTATTGGCTCACATTGAAATACCCTGTATGGATTTTGACTGAGGTTGGTCTCTCCCATCCTCTAATTATGTAGCTGATTATTTTTTACCTGAACTCATTAATCTATGAGGATATTTTTGAATTTAAATCTTTTATACATTCTGTTAACCATTCTTCCCAGATTTGTGTCATTTGCCAATCTACTCAGTATTTCTTTTATATCTCTTACCTATCATTGAACATGGTATATTAGTCTGTTCTCACACTGTCAATAAAAACATACCTGAGACTCAGTAGTTTACATTTAAAAAGAGGATCAACTGACTCATAGTTCCACATTGATGAGGAGGCCTCACAATCATGGTAGAAGGTGAAAGAGGAGCAAAGTCACATCTTACATGGTGACAGGCAAGAGAGTGTGTCTCTTTTATAAAACTAGCAGATCTCATGAGACTCATTCACTATAATGAGAGCAGCACAGGAAAGACCCACCTCATGATTCAATTACGTATCACCAAGTCCCTCCCACTACATGTGGGAATTATGGAGTCTCATCAATTCAAGATGAAATTTGGGTGGAGACCCAGCCAACCATATCATTCCACCCCAGCCCCTCCCAAATCTCATGTCCTCACATTTCAAAACCAATCATGCCTTCCCACCAGTTCCCCAAAATCTTAACTCATTTCAGCATTAACTCAAAAGTTCACAGTTCAAAGTCTCATCTGAGACCAGGCAAGTCCCTTCCATCTATGATCCTGGAAAATCAAAAGCTAGGACACAGGTAAAATAAAGTAATGGGTTAAACAGTTTCAGTTTTTAAAAATTTTATCAAGATGTATATCCAATAATAATCATAACAAGAATAATATTCCCATTAATAATAAGTTCAATGTATTAGAATTTAAAATATGCCAGTTGTTGCTCTTTTTCACAAGAATCCTTTGGGATAAGTAGTAATCCCAGTGTTAACAGAAGAAAAATCTCAGGTTCAAAAGTTGAGGCAATGATGAAGAACAAGGGCTGAGATTGAGACACAAATCTAATACCAAAGCTCATAACTTTAATTGGTTTGCACTGTCTTTTAGGCTGAGTCAATAAAACAAACGGAATACTTTTTGCTTCAGTAACATCTATAATTATTTAGTTTTTGATAATTTATTAGTATTTGGTGTTTGTACACAATCTTGTTCTAATGCAATGAGATTTATTTGATGAGGCTGTCAAAGCAAGTGGGAGATTATGATGGAAAAGTAAGGTAAAGCTACAAATGAGGACCTACATGAAATGTTTACTTTAAAATAAGGTATGCTTGCTTGAAGTCTGAAACAAATTTGACTCTACTAGTTAAGAAGCCAGTCCAGAAAGGAAGAAAGATCCTTCCCATGCCTCTCAATTACACTCTAAGACACATTGTCCAAAGATGAAAGCAAAGCAGTAGCTGAAGAGGAGCACAAATGTTCTTGGTGTGCAGCCACAAATACACTTCCTCCAGGATTCATGAAGAGAGGAGACCATGTGTGTAATATAATAAATAAAGACTTCAGCTGCACTTTTACATTAAATCTACTGAGTTTCCTAAGTCTAGTATTGCTCTTTTTATAGATCAGTGTCCCAGTATGATAATATAACAAAAGCAGTTTTGGAGACATCAATGTGTTGTGCTCTGGGTATGCAGCTATCTGACTGTATAGTTTAATTCAAGGATAGATATTCCTGCTCTCTAGATTGGCACAGCTTAATAGAAATGTAATGAGAGTCATATATGTAATTTAAATTTTTTCTAATAGTCACTTTTAAAAAGTAAAAATAACAGGAAAAATTAACTTTATGTAGTTTATTTAATGCAATATATCTAAAATACTGTGATTTGAGCATGTGGCACCAGCCACATTTCAAGTGCTCAATATCCACATGTGACTGTATTACACAGCACAGATGTAGATGAATACATTAACTACATACTCTTGATATTCCGCATATTATTTCACTTGACAGCTTGTGAGAGGTATTGAGTAGCACTAAGATCATCATTATACTCAAAGACATATGCCTGTGTTGTCAAGTAAGTGAAGAGCAGCGCTGACAGACAACCAGGCTGGGGGAAGAATTGGTGCCCATTTTTGAAAATTTAGTTACTTGATATAGACATGAGCCTGAATTAAACACTCTCATTTCACGTCTGTAGGTGGACTTAAGGGACATCTGTGTACATGTAAAAATTATTCTCAAGAAACAATTTGGATACTTTTGTAACACAGCCTAGGCTCCAGAGTTCAGAGTTCCACACAGTAGTGGAATGCTGCAGTAATATTGGCCAAAAATTGAAAAAGAAAAGTTGTTAATCAGATGCCCATTTTGCCCATTAGAGGAAAAAAAAAATCTCAAGCACTTTCAAACTATCCCAACTTTTTGAGCAATATCATTTATTTGTGTGCCTTTTAAAATAAATGGTTCTTTTTAAATGTAAATCTACTGTCTTAATCACTACTACATGGTGATTATTGGCAGTAAAATACAGTTTGGGTATGTTTATTGAAGATGACAATTTTAGTTTGAGAATAACTTATCTTTGGCCCATATCTAATAATAAATAGAAAATAGAGCCAATTATCCATCACACTACCTGACTTCGAACTATACTACAGGGCTACAGTAACCAAAACAGCATGGTACTGGTACAGAACAGAATAGAGAACCCAGAAATAAGACTGCCCACCTTGTCAAAGATCACATTTGACAAACCTGACAAAAACAAGCAATGGGAAAAGGACTCGCTATTCAATATATGGTGCTGGGAGAACTTGCTAGCCATATGCAAAAGAGTGAAACTGGACCCCTTTCTTGAACCATATACAAAAATTAAGATAGATTAAAGACTTAAATGTAAAACTCAAAACTATAAAAATCCTGGAAGACAACCTAGGCATTCAGGACATAAACACAGGCAAAGATTTCATGATAAAGATGCCAAAAGCAGTGGCA